AAGGAGCAGGAAGAAAAACTAAGATTTTGAATGGAACTGAAAATAATGGATATGTTATATACTTCAGCGTCCTTTTTTTGCCGGAATTAAGCACGAAAAGAACGCATGCAGAAAACAGCACCCAGACTACGCGCCGTCCTTAGTGCTCTAAATATCTAGCATTCCTAAAATTTGTTTGAAGAAATTTAATTTTCAGCGCTATAGTGAGCTGCGAAAAATTCCGTCATTCACAAACCCAGAGCGGGCTTGAGCGAAGCGAAGAAATGGCTATCGCTTTTTTTACAGTGACAATACTTTCCTCGGCAGCTCTAAAAATAAAATATATACATAATAATAACCCTTCATTTTATTTACACATACATTAATCGAATTATTTATAATAACTCGACAGCTCAGGTGCAATTGGAAATACGTGAGTGAGAGTAAATATATCAATAATTTCCCAATGTTTATACCCAATTAAAACCGCCCACATTTTGCCCACTTAGCAAAGCGCTGCTACTTGAATTAACAAACCCACTTGGCTGCCTTTTAATTGCGGTAAACGAATGCGATTGCCTGGCGTCCTTTAAATACTACCTAAGCCAGCTAAGGCGACACAAAAAGTACTCTAAGCGATCTTTGCACTGACCACTTTCCACTGATTGGCGCTGCTTTTACCTTAGAAGGTAAGCATTTTCGTCCACTCGTTTACTCGCCCACTGATACCGTACTTAATGCTAATGCTGCAAATTAAATATAAAAACAAACTGAGTAAAAATAGAAGGTGAAAACAAAAAGCAAGGCGAAATGCGAAAAACAAAAAAAAAACAAAAATCATTAAGGGTGTTAAACAAATCGCAAAAATAAACAGCATCGAGGCAAACGAAACAAAGATAACATAGCAAAAAAGGTCGCACCTGACCCGCAACATTTGAAAAATGTTTGAACAAGAAAACGACAAAAAGTAAGAAAAATAAGCAACAAAACGCTCTTGGCGAAACCAATAGTAATTATTGGCAATTAATACTGGCCACTATTACCCTTAAGGTTCACCCTTGCTCACACCAAGGTTTGCATTTAAAGCGCGTTACTGCGACGTCCCGACAGTTGCCGCCGCTAGGCGATAGAGCTGCAAAGTAAGAAGTAAAGTTTGAAAAAAAAAACTTGAAAAAGGTAGCCTAGCGCGTGGCTAATGATATTTGGTTTAGGTGTGTGTGGTGGTGGTAGTCTGTTCTCTCTGTTAAGGACTCGCTGCTGCCCGTGCCTGTGTGAAAAATGTTGCTAGCGCTTGCAATTAAATGCGCGACAGGCTATTTGCATAGGAAATTAACATAATTGCATTAAACACCATCGTCGCATCGCAAATGGCTATTAACTATGATAGCATTGACAAGGACCTCAGTGCAGTGGAGAATCGAAGAAGATGTTTATATATATTATTAGTCCAACATAAAAGCGCGAATGCCACTCATTAAAGTATTTAAGGTATTTAAAGCTCGAATTGGTAATATTCCAAATAAACTAAACCAATCTTAGAAAATAAGAAATAAATGTTTAGAGTGAATACCATCTTTCATGCGGCGACATACCAATTGGACTTTAATATAAACTTTAAAAAGAAATATCACCGAATTAGCGAGTTAAAAGAGTTGTCTTTCAGCGCTCCGTACGATTTTGCAATTAAAAAGAATAAACAATCATTTCTATTCAGCGGCGGCGTAAAATGTAAGTTTCCTTTAGTTTTTTTTTGTTTGAACTTGAATTTGAAATTGATGGCAGCTTGATTGTCAACAACGAAGGCAAATTCAGATGGAGCTAGGTCGATCGTGTTCACAAGCCTTGCCGTCATCTTGATTGCATACATCTCTAAACTGAGAGGAAAAAAATATTAAAATCAAATAGAAACGTAATTGATCTTATCCCTTATTACAAATGGTGATGTTCGAGCTGTTCCAAGCCGTGTGGGCTGCATTGGTGTCACAGCAAGCTAACATACTTATGCCTTTGCTCCGCTCAGGTGGTGAGTTGCCTGAAGGATATTGACGGTGGTTCGTGTACATCGTATGGCATGTACGAAGATGCGAGGATGAGGTTGGGTGCTCCTCTCTGCTCCGACATTGCCCTCTGTCATGTCCGCAATGCTAAGTTGGGGAAGGAAAAGAATATTAGTGCTTTTCTTAGTCTGAATACAGCTTCTAATTGTACCTTCAGTCGGTGGGATGAGAAGTTAAAATTCTCCAGTGGATACAGCTATGACCATCGCCGGCACAAAACAAATGCAGGCAAGAATGTATTGAATTCATCTGTAATTAATAAGAAAGTGTTTTGGTTAGTGGACAAAATACATAACAAAAAGGCATACCATACTTCTGTTTACTATAACTAAACTTAGAACATTCTTTGGTTTTGTAAAAATGTTAAACTATAACCCTAAAAAAAATTAAATCTTGAAGAATAATAAAACATACATACTATTACATACCTATAATTTTCTGAACAGGAAATTTATCATGAAAATATTGCGTAAACAACTAATAGTTATGCGTATTTTTTTCGTTAGAGTAAATATTTTTGTGCAATTCAATTTCCTACCAAAATAATTTTTCACGTTATTTTTACAATGCTTATATGTCAAGCTACAAAAATAAGAAAAACGAAACATTTTTGTCGCATGTTATTTATATGTGAAATGGAAAGTTAGGAACAGGCACCACTTAATGCTAATATTAAGTGCTCAAATTTTTAAGGGCTCTTTTTTTCACTTTTTTGAAAGTTAATAGCCTGTTTTTTATTTGAAAAAAAAAGTTGCTCAAAAATTACACAGCCTAATGTACATATCTTCTTTGTTTAACAATGTTTTCTAGTACCTATTCCCAACTCAAAAAGGAAATAATATTCAAACATTTTTGTTAGACACAGATATGCTCGCTTCATAAGTACTTGCTTGTGGTATTTAGATCACCCACTGGAGCCCTTAAAAGAGAAGCAGATGCACTTTTATTTTAAATTCCATGCTTTGGTGTAAACAAAGTATGTATAGTTCTTTGTTCAACCTTCTAGCTCCAGTATCAAATACAGTCTAAGAATACAAAATTTTTGCCCAAAAAGCCCTTTTTTCCCGTATTTGAATTATAATTGTTTCCTATGCTATTTCTGATCCCTACATCAGTGTTGCCAGAGAAAAATTTGGTTTGGAGCTAAAACGGTCGAAAAAAAAGCTAAATAATACTAATGGTAGCTAAAATGAAAAGCTATATATTTTTGTAAAGGTTAAGCATTTATTGAGGTAAGGTTGTTTTTACATTTTCTGCAGTTTTAATAAAAACAACAAATTCTATAAGTTTAAGTGCTGAAAAAGTCTTTTAAAGCCAAAATAAGGTGCAAATATAATGCCAATTCGTTGCTTATAACCGTGAAATAAAAATACTTTACAAACTGTTAGAATCTGTAATTTCAGATATTTGATTTGAATAATTTTTTCGCAAAATTTTTTTGGAAAGTTTTACTTCTAGCTCTCCTTAAAGGTAAAATTAGTAAGGTAAAACGAAATCGGCGCTACCAGAAAATGATTTTCTTTTAATTAGTTTTTGAATTCTTTAACCTAGATCCAAGATTTATGGTGGATACACTGCATCTCGAAATTTTCCATTTTATCAACGCTTAAGTCTTGGCTTATATGTACCAAATACAAATAAAACTTAATGGAGCTAAAAAAAGTGCTAGATAAATTTGAAAAGAGCTAAAAAAGATTTAGGAGCTAAAACCCAATTTTCGGAGCTAAATAGAAAAATAAAGAGCTAAATTTAGCTCCAAAAGAACCAAAATGGCAACACTGCCCTACATGCCTCTCGTGTTCCATATGCCTTTAATTTTCTACACTTCTGTCTGTCTCTCTCTCTCTCTCCCATTATTAAACGTCTTCCTACACATTAAATCTAATAGCGCATATTAAATATGTTTAACACATGATTATAATACCTATGTATGTTTATCCGCTTCTAGTATTTAAATGAGCTGCATTAAAAGCAGCAATGACAAGTAAAATGTTCTGCATGAATTAGTGTCAGTCTCGCAGTGCAACAGTGCAAATACCAAACAAGAAATAAACAAACAAACTAGCACAAAATTAAAGCAGGCAAACGTGTGAAATGACTTAAACAATAAAATTGAATAAAATTACAATCCAACACATCCAAGCATACATTTAATTTATTAGCATAATAGCAGAGCAACAGCAAATGAACTGGCAAGCTGTAGATTACTTTAACTGCAGCTATTATTGTCACTGATATTCCCTGAACAAACACACACACACACACACTTACATACATTTATACATATCATACTTATTAAGGGAATTATGAAAATTCGTAATTAGACTGGCAGCAGCAGCAGCAGCAGAAACACTTCCGCTGCCTCTCATATGTATTTACATTGCCACACACAGCACATTGCGATAATTCCTATTTGCATATATTATTTGTGAGTCACACTGGCAATGCCAGCAAACAGCAAACATATTGTGTAATTACATAATACAAATATAATTTAATAAAGTCACTTAATACCGACATGTTGCTTGCTGTACGATGCGACGTATGTTGACTGCTGAAAGCTGGCTATTAAATGCTGATTGCTGCTACAAACACACGCACATACACTCAGCTAATTTTGGCGCTGCTACTGTTGAATGCTAGGCTAGGTATTATTTAATAGACTATTGGCATGTGCAAGGGCAAAAATATGTTTTATTTTTCTTTCAATGACTGGCATTGGCATTTATTGTAGGGAAGCGACAGTGCGTATGAGCAATTTTTTTTCTCTATCGAATGCAACAGTTGACCGTCAGTTGAATTGCTATTACATAGCTGCTTTGTATACAAAATACTTCAATGTGTCATTATTTTAGTGTACTACAATATTCAGTACTATTTAAAATATTTATTTATTTCGACACGAAATCTGGAATATCACAAATATATCAATCGTTTTTCTCTTCTCTCTCTCTCTCTCTTCAGGACTACGACAAAGAGATCATCAGCCATAAAATTAATTCACCGATTAGTAATAGCAGCCTACATGACTTGCACAATCAGAACTCCTACGACAAGGATCATGTCAAGGAATTGGAATTTTATCAGAGTTTAGCCAAGGCTGCCTCACTGGTCAATCACAATGATGCTCATTCGCATCAATCGCATGAGTCCCACGAAATGTCGCCAGCCACTTCGCCGCAGCCAATGCAAATCGACACCGATGTGGGCGAAGATTGCGATGGCCGAGATCAACTTAGTCGCTTGTCGGATGCTGAGGATCACGAGCAGCAGGCGAAGGCTTCAGCTTCAGCATTGGCGGTAGCAGCAGCGGCAGCGCAGGCGCATCTAAACGGAACTAGTGAGTACATATCGAAAGCCAATTTTATTAAAAAAAAAGAAATACTCATACTAAAACATTACAATAACAACAAGACAAGGCAGGGGGAGTCCTCTCAATTAATGAAGTTGCAGCATTTTAGAAAAAAGAGCTCAGACGCAATGTGAAAAGGAATCGTTATATTTAATTTAGGGTTTAGCTAAAATTTTCGTTTGTTTTTCTTTTATTTGTAGTTTTTCGATTAAATGGGCAATGCACATTACGACTTCTATTGCTGGTGCCCGCTCAAAAAATATAGATATATTTAATGATTTTTGGCTATTTCATCAAAAATATGTAATGAATAGTAAAACTGAGCTTAATTTTGTTTTATTCACTGATTTTCATTAGCCATTTTTTTCTTTTCAAGTTTATTAGTGTCGAAAGACAAAAATTTTTAAATTAAAGAGATACTTTAAAATGTTTTTGTGAATCAATAAATATTATTGTGAACTGAAAAAATTAAATTTTTAAAATAAGGAGTTCCAATGATTTACAATAAAAAAATCCTAATATTAGTTGTTTTGGAAAACACTTTGTGCTGACCTTGAAATTCAGAAAAGTTTAATTTTAATGCTAATTGAATATGAAAAATTGGTATAAATTTTACAGTGATTTACAAAAAAATAAGCTTTTAGTAAGTTACTATTTCTTTATGAAAATTTAAAATTTTAATATGAATTATTTTAGGAGCCTGATAAAATAATTTTTGTGGAAAACTTTGAATCTAATTTTCGTAGAAGATGAATCAGCTTAAGATGGCTAAAAATTTTAAATAAAACAACAAATAATTAATAATACAATTTCTCATAAACATCTCGATCGATAAATTTAAATACGAATCATTTTCCGACCCAAATAGAAATTTTTATGGAAAATTTGATTCAAAACTTGATTTAGATACATATTAATCAGATGAAAAAAATTATAAATTTCCTAATACATATATTTTTTCGAAAAATTTAAGGACCGAAACCGATTGCGAAATTTGCGTAAAGTTTTTTATTGAAAAACAAGTAATTTTTAAGCAAAAAAAACCGACTTCAATTCTCATATAAAAATTTAGGAGTACCGTTAATTTTTTTATGATTCAATCATCAGATCTAAACCAGATTAGTATGGGACTACCTCTGAGACACTACCTATCGGTTGACGTAGTCCAAAGTTATGCGGTAACATACATAAAAAAAAAAAATATTCCGAAGAATTCATAACCTTGCAGTCGGCTAAAAATTTAACATTGAAGAAAAATGAAACATTGATTTTTTAAACCAATTTTTATTTTTTATTTGCCTTTTTTTAAATTGTTTAATCATGGCTGTTTTTTTTAGTATATAAAATACTTGCAGCCATACTTAGCTTCTTGTGCCTAATGACACCGAAGGCAGACTCCTTCTCAGCCCCTTTTTTACTTTCTCCAAAAAAAATTAGAGCGAGCTTAATAAAGATTAAAATCTGTCATTCAAAGCTTTTTATTATTGAAAGACAATATATTTTTTTTTAAATCCAAAGACCCGCTCGCTTCATCTTAATTGAACCCTTTAATTGTTTCAATTAACTCGAGTATCCTTTAAGCGTTTAGGGAATCCCCATAACTGTTCAACTAATCGCCGAAACAGAGAATCATCACACACTTGCACATATGTACTTACAAAATACATTAAATCTACTCATACAAAACAAGCGAACAGGCAACCTACTAGCAATATAATAGACCTTTGTAATGGCCTGCAGACGAGACACAGGACACAGGACACAGGACACAGAACACATAATTTAACTCATCAAAGCGAGACCCACACAATTTTACTAATAACTTGCAACTTGTCTCATTTTTACTCTTTCCTACCCCTAACACACCGCTCTGCTTCCATCACACTGCACATTGGCCGTCACCATCGCATTCAACTTCATTATCAAAAACAAAAACAAAATGTTGTTCACAAATCCACCAATAACAATAACAACAACAATTATGCACTCCTCGTAACCGTATCTACACTCCGCAGTGCAAGACATGATAAATTTACAAAAATTACAAAATTTAGCTACGCTTCAGCAGCAGCAGCAACAACAACAACAACAACAGCAGCAACAACAACAACAACAACATCATCACATGCAACATGCCAATGGCGGCGGCAATGGCATTCACCATCATCACCACCATCTCCACTCGCAACATCCCAACCTGCACACACCACCCGACGGCACGGCCACGCCGGTTAGTGTGGGCCAGAATGTCACTCCGGCGACGGCTGCAGCATTAGCAAGTCTTCAGGGATTAGCGGCAGGTATCAGCGCTTCAGCGGCTGCAGCAGCAGCACTCAATTCGCCGCTCAATTTGACTGTTGGTGCCGGTGCGAGTGGAAATAGTGGCATCACTGCCTGTCTGCCCTCGGTGAGCGCCACTGCCACCGGCCCACACAGCGCTCCGTGCTCGCCCAGTGCTCTTTCCGCTTCGAATGTGCTCGCCGCAGCAGCCGCTGCCGCAGCGGCCTCTAACAATAATAACAAAGTCATGTCACATGCCGGCAATTGTGG